ATCAGGTAGGAGAGTATTCTCCCTATAGCCATTTCCAAAACTCTAGTTCTTTCTGCCAGCTCAAACGTCCGAGTAGACTTCGCAGGTCCTATACGTCGAGAGGTGTTATGTAAGAGGTGCATCTGCCTAGTTCCCGTTGGAATCTGGAACTGCTCTTCGAGTTAGGTGGCATACCCAGTAGGTGTTCATTCATCATCTGAGCTATTCAATTGTTCTTGTTCTGCTCCTCCGACAAAAAGGTTCCTTGGCATTGGTCGAAAGTCATTTAGGTCACTCTCCAAAGGCTAAGTATTATCCTGGTCGTCCATGTCGTCTCTTGGAGGGCGATTCCCAGTAAAGGTACGTACCATTTTTAACTTCAACTAGTTAAGCTACACCACTTTTTGTTCAAGTTCCTACAAACGACGCCAAATGTTTGGACAGCTTTGCAAACCTATACTGTAGAAATCTTCAATTGCTTCAACACCTGAAAATCTCAAGGATGTTTCCTCAGGGAAAATACTCCGACGTTCAAGTTAGCAATACTCGATATTCTAGAGAGAGAAGCTCTCAAGAGTAATTGTAGAGAGAAAAGCGTAGTGAAGTTATTACCTTCTGTGGAGGTAGGTAGGGGCTATTTATAACCCCCATGTGATGACATGAGTTTATACAAGTAAGCATCTGATTGGTCAACGAGTTACCGCCCACGTGGGTATGTCTGTGTTGGTGCATAGAAGCATCTTTCTTTTGGGCTTATAGGTAAATGACGGGCTTATAGGTAAATGACTGGGCTTATTGCACATGGCCATGTTGGATGTTGGGCCCATTCCCAACAGCCCCCAACTGAAATGATTAAAGTGAAAAACTATTATTGGCCACAAGCTCTAAAAACTTAAATTTGAGTTCAGTAACGGTGGTCATGACAATTACATCGTAAATTTCCACAACTTTTAAACCGGTAAATTTCCACAACTTTTAAACCGGTAAATTTCCGTAACTTTTGGACTTATTCGCCCTCTTAAAGTTTTAAATTCAAAAATCGAAACTTAAAATGGGCAGGAAGGATGAACGAAAGGTGGTCAGAAAACACAAAGGAAAAAGGAGTTCAGCAATGGTGGTCACGACAATTACAAGGTCAATTTCCACAACTTTTGAACAGGTAAATTCCCATAACTTTTGGACTTATTCACCCTCTTAAAGTTTTAAATTTGAAAATTGAAACTCAAAATGGGCAGGAAGGACGAATACGAAAGGTGGTGAGAAAACACAAAAGAAAAAGACCTCTTATTTTATTCTCTCTTTCACACAAGATCTCCATCCTTATGAAATTTCGTCTGGGAGTATGATATATGGCACTTTTTCTTACCAACACCATATTTAAAGATGAAAAATTGTTATAAATAGATAATTTTAGGAGAAAAATATTTATTAATTAGATCTTTAAAAAATTAAGAAAAAAAAAACTTCAAAACTACATTATTTTAATAAATTATCATTGAAAAAGACTATAATAGCATACTCCATCTGTTCATTTTTAGTAAATTTAATTTGACTTTTTTATTTTTAAAATATGAATTTTAGATGAAATTTTAACAATTTATATAAACAAAAATTTAAAATTTTTTTAATCAAATAAAAATATTTAACAAGAACTATATATAGGGACAAAAAAAAATCAGTTGTTGTTCATATATATTGTTAAATTTTCATCCAAATTCATGTCTTAAAAATCAAAAAGTCAAATTAAGTCTACTAAAAATTAACAAAAGGAGTATTTTTAAATAAAAAATGAGTTTGTTTTGATTTTTTCTTGTGGTATTTTAATAAAACGACATAACTATAAAGTGTTTTTCCTTCTTTTTTTTTGAGATCTAACTAACAAATACTAAACTCTAATTTTAATTACTATTTTACTACATATTCTTAGTCACATTAATTCATATTTAATATATTTTTGTGATTGAAAAAGACCCAAAAAAAAGTAATACAGTGACATCAAAACACTTCAAAACAAAGTTTGAATCTATAATATTATAGTTATAATGCTATGTAAAATTGTAAGTATACAATCATAACATTTTATTAAATAAATAAATGAATATAATATCACAAGTAAACTGATAAGTAAAAAAAATCAATTATATAATGACATATTATATTTGTAAGCATATTGTTTACACCTAAAATAAAAAAATCAATAAGAGAATGCCACATATGAAATTGGGCCAAGTCATTGGTCTGATGGGTACGAGGTCAACGGGTTTGGGTGCTGATCTGGAGTGGGCTTATTGAAAAATTCACAACCCAGACGAAGGTGAATGGTGGGCTAATGACACATGGTAAGGGATAAAGCGTACCTTATATTTAATTGAGTTTTATTCAAATTAGGAAATTAGAGTGTTTCTAGGAGAAGATTACGTATGGTTTTATTAGAGTTAGATTTGGAATCAAACATCCCATTGCCAGGCATGGGTAACTATTATCAGATGTGGAGCATCCACCAGCCAATTGTTGTGGGAAGAGGACCGAGATTCATGGAGCAACCACCCCAACATCGAAGAAAAGGAAAAAAAAGGAGAAAATTTGGTTTCTTTAGGCCTACCCTTCTCAAAAATCACCCAGCGTGCTGCAATTTTAGATTTCTAGATTTAATCAACCAACTTATTGCACAAATTTTCATATTTGCAAATTAAAACTCAAAGATATGTTCTTGTTTATAGCTTTAGTTTAAATCTTCTGCTTTATTTGAGATTTCCTTCAAAGATTACATCTTATTATTAGTTTCTAGGACTTCAGAAGTGAACCAACCTTGTTGTTCAGGTTTACCCTCTTAATTTGCTTAGTGATTTTCAATGGATTCTACTCCTTTAGTTGTTATTTTGATGGGTTGAATGTTTGTTTCCTCCATGCCTTCATTCATGCTATAATTTATTATCTTCGAACCGTTTTCTATTGATTTCAAAGTAGGATTTAGTTTTTAGTTTTCCCGATCTTAGATTAATTAGCAATTAGGTTGTTTTCTATTATAATTTAGCATCGAATCTTTAAGTAGTTTAATCGGTTTTAAGTTAATATGTAAGTGTTCTTAATTTCTAGAATTTTTTTGAAGTTGAATTTTTGGAATTCATTATGGTTGGTAGGATTTTAGGCATAGTTTGTAAGTTCGCCCAGTCATTTGTCTGCAAATTTATCTTGATAGCATGCTATTTTTGTATTGTTTTTAGTAAACTATCTTAAGATATTGTGTTTAGTTTAGGATTAATAGTCTTTTATACATTTTTGTGGTTTTTAAAAACTCAGAGTTGTCCAAAGCAAGTAGTAACCCATTTTGCAAAACATCATCCTTTATTTTGCAACCTCATTTGAGGGGTAGAACAATTCATATATAGACATTTTTTTCGGCCATCCTACTTGGAGGTCAACTGCTACAAAGGAGGAGATTGCCAAAAAAAAATTATATTTTCTTATTTTTAGATAAAGCGAGTAGTATGTCCTTAACCCAAACTCACAGAACAGGGGCCAGCCAAGGATTTTGAGGAAACACATACAATACCATGTTGCCCAACTACACAACATAAACTATTAGATGCGAATGGAGAGCTTAATATTGAGAGTTGTTTCTTCATTCAGTATTATGCAGTCCTTATTGCAAAATGAAACTGTATATTTCAGCTTTTATGTGATTAAATTTTAATGAGAGTTCTATGTGCCTTGGAAGCTCTCAAAAACTTAGTTTATGGAAAGGAGTTCTAAGAATGGCTCCAGAAAACACATTAGGTGAGATTCATCAGGTGAATGTAGTATGCTAATTGAAAATTTTCTGCATTGCGGTAAGTTAGTTGAAATTCCTTTTGTACCATCAGCCGCAGTGTTTTTGTTTTGAAGTTGCATATGATTAACAGGATCAAATCGTGTATCATTTTGGATGGTTAATTTAATCACTACTTTATTTAATCTAGATGTATTATTCTGTATATGTATTCACTGTATTCTATCATGTCATTTCTTGATTTATTTTTTTTCCGGAATGGTGCTCCTACAGCAGGATTTGTTCCCTCCCCTCGCTTGTAAATCTGTTGGATTTGGGCACAAACTGAAAGTAACGCATCATGCACAATATATAAAAACATCACCTAAAATTACACATAAAAAGTCAAACACTGACATTTTAAAATATAGAAAATGATAAAGATACTTTTGAAAAAAAATAATATTAAACTCATTTTACAAATATTCCAAACATTTAATAATATTCTGAACCGAACTTTCATCTAATCATTTGTATTCAAATCTTAGTGTGTTCAAATTTAATTGATCAAGAATTTGACTTTCACCAATAATTTTAAAAAAAAAATATCATTCCCCAAAATTTTGCCATGCTCATAAAAAATAATAATAATAATAATATTCCTAAGGTTCAGTTGATTTCTATAGGTTGATTTATCCTTCCTACCATAAGAATAACGAATGAATTGGCCAATAAATTTTCTAGTAAATCCATTTTTTAAAACAACATCAATTTTATTTTCATTTAAACCAAGCAAACTTAAAAGCATTTGGAAACATAAGAATTCATTTATAAACGAATTCACTTATATATTCATTTATAAATGAAAACAATTATAATTCATTTGCAGACCATTTTTTTTTTCACCTTTTCTCAGTGTAGATTGAACCTGTCCAGCACAACCCCAATTGCACAACACATTTCTATTAAATGAATCAGAACGTTCATCCAATCCTCGTCTTTTTTTTCCATCTGTCACCCAGATTGAATACCATTGTGCATCTAATCTTAAATCACCTTAGAAAAAAACGGGGGAGGAAACAATTGGATAAAGTAGCAAAGAACCACTTTCTTTTTCTTTTTCTTTTTTTTTTTTTTTTCGGCCAAAACAAACCAAGAACTTCAAAATAAGGAT